ATAGTTGTCTTCCAAATTTCTTGGCATTATATAATGTAGCAAATATACTTATTTTTATGATAACATTTGATAACGTATGCAACCTTACCTTTACCATGCTCTTCTCAGGGTTTATTTAAATAATGTGTTATTTTTTTAAAAGCACATACCTTCTGTTTTAAGAATAAGTTCTTAACATTGTATTCCAGTTTACAAGCATTTTATCAATACTTGCTTCAACAAATTATTTGTGTTAACTCTTAACTTTATTTCATATAAATCTTGTCTTCCCAATTTCTGGATCTTTGGTTATTTTTCACACGATTAGAACTTTCTGAAGTACCTGTATTTTTTTTTTCCTTCGAGAGAAAATGAGATGATACTTGTTTTTTTTGAGTTAATGCATGCTTAAAATGTAGTACATAAGTTTAAAATGTTAGAAGCTTAATTCTTTTCCTCAGAGCTCTGCAAACATACCTCAGTTGTCCTTTTTTATGTAATGCTGATGAAAACTTTATGTCAAAAGTTTTTTATCTTGTGAGTAATCTGTTTTTCTCTATGAAATCGTGAGAATTATTTTTGAATCCTTTGATGAATTTATCCATTTTTTTCTTTTTTTATTGTGCTTTTCCTATCATATTTAAGAACTCATCTATCTTTATTTTCTGAAGATTTTTTAAAAGTTTTTTATTGTTTACAGGGCAGATCATCAGTTTTACATTCAAGAAATCATATACTTTGTTTCATTACAATGATTATACTCCCCTCCATGTACCATCAGTTAACAGTATTTCTTTCTATTCATCTTAGCTCTAATTATTTTTTTTAACACTCAGGCATATATGATAATTTACACCACCAAAGGGCACATTCTGCAAGTCAGCCTCCTGGCCACCAGCTCTCAGGCTCTCTCTTTCCATGAATCTAGAGTCCTCCGTGGAAGCTGCTCCCTCTCTCCATGTCCCCATCTCTGCCTCCATCTCTGGTATCACTGCTTGTCTGGATAAGTTCCTGCATTCCACTTGTGCTCTTCTCCCTTGATGGTCCTACAGCCCTCTTTTTCTGTACTGTAAGATTACTCCCCCGTTTTTGTTACAAAACTTCTACCTTTACAATTGCGATAGTCACAGTTAGTCATGATAACAGGTATTCATTATTGAATCATAAGAATCTTATCCCCATCTCTTTTTACCAGACCCATCTAGACAAGCAAAAAACTATTCAGTGGAGACTCTCTCTTCCCCCATACACTCTTAAACTAAACTCCGTCTTGAAATTTTGTAAGCCAGTCACTTCATGCCTTTATCGCTCCCTTATTTTAGATAGCCAATGTCTAAGTTGCCCGACTCTATCTACCCTGTATACAGAGAGGATAGTATTGATACTTGATGTGAAGATTCCTTCCTCTCTGTTGGTATTTTGAGCTACTACCTCCACTCCATGAGTATAGCTCAAGTTCATCAAATTGTAGCAATGTACCCTCATTTCCTTTATCAAAAATTATTGTTGTTGTTGTTTTTCATCTTCCTCTAGTCGAGTTCTGAGTATCAAGCCTTCGAAGCTAGGTCAAATGGGTACTATCTGCAACTTTGGTTTTCTTGTGAGAATCCCCTCACTTCATATCAGCTGAATGCTTTACTCTCAGCTATAGCCCTCTGTGGCTATGTTCCTTGTCCTTGGGCTCAGGTGTCCCCAGGTATCACCATACTTTGGACCAACCAGCCCTTCTTCTTCTCTCTCTCATCTCCAGGTCAACAGGAGTCTATGGAACATGGTTCCTTGTCCTTGGGCTCAGGTGTCCCTAGGTATCACCACACTTTGGTCCAGCCAGCCCTTCTTCTCTCTCTCATCTCCAGGTCAACAGGAGTCTATGGAACATGGTTCCTTGTCCTTGGGCTCAGGTGTCCCCAGGTATCACCACACTTTGGACCAACCAGCCCTTCTTCTTCTCTCTCTCATCTCCAGGTCAACAGGAGTCTATGGAACATGGTTGAACTCAACCCATTTCTTCATTGCTGACTTTCCCTGTCTTCCACTCACCGGTAGACCAATGTGGTTGCCAGCAAGCTTGCATGCCTGCTCATGTGTTCCCTTTGAGTTTCAGTCTTAGATACTTAAAAACATTTTATGTCAGTTCCTGATCCATTTTAAATTAAATTTTGTGCATTATATACAGTTTAGAATGGGTTCCTTTTTTTGTTTTGTCTATGAATATTCAGTTGCTCTAGCACAATTAGTTGAAAAGATGATTCTTCCTCCATTGGATTGTGTTTGCCCCTTTGCCAGAAGTGAGTTGGGCATATTGTGGTGGTCTATTTCCTATTCTATTCCATTGGTCTTTATATCTATTTTTATGCTAATACCAACTGTTTTGATTACTGTAGCTATATAGTAAGTCTTTATGTCAGCTAAGTGATTTCTGTAATCTTATTTTTCTTTTCCATAGGTATTTTTAAAAGTATTCTAAGTCTTCTTTTTGCAAATACATTTTAGAATAAGATGTTCTTTCCCTACAAAAAAATCTTGGTAAGATTTTTGGTAGGAATTGCATTAAACCCATAGATCAGATTACATCCCATAGATCAACTTATGAACATAGTATATATCTCTATTTATTTAAATCTTTAATTTCATTCATCAGTTTTCTTTCCAGAGTATAGATCCTATATAGGTTTACTAGATTTACACCTAAGTTCAGGCAGTCTGTGTGTTACAAATGAGATCCATTCTTGTGTCTTTAAGTAGAATTTGTAGGTGAATTGTAACCAGGTGCATACAGTTCTTACTTAACTTTACTTTAGTACAAGAAAACGCTGGATGCCTTTTCAGTGATTTAAAAGCTGCACGTGCAGCAAATGAAGAGGATTATAATGAAGAATCTGTAGCTAATAGAGCAACCTCTATACAGTTATATAAAAGGACAAGTAGGAGTTATCCATAAGTCAGACGTTCATAACCTGCCTATAATTTTTTTTGAGAAATTGTAAATGGTGTTATATTTTAATTTCTGTTTCCCTTGTTTGTAGAAACACAGCTATTTTTTATATGTTGGTTTATATCCTAGGATCCTAGAACCATGCTGAACTTAATTGTTGCTCTTTGTTTTTTTCTAAGAGTCCCAGCTGGTGTGTTTTGTAGAAATTTTGGCCTGCTCTGTTTCCTTTTAGACTTGCCTACTTGGTCCTCTACCCTCCATACTTTCTGTAAACTGGCAGGTGAAACTTTTGGGGAGAATATAGGTGATATTTTGGATTTCATATTGCATTTGGAAATTTAGGTTCCTAAGAAAGAATAAAATTTTTCATAAGTTCTTTGTCTGCAATTTATATTACAATAAAATAAGGAAGTTTTTCTTTTTTTCGTTCTTTCTTTGGCTGTTTTGCGTAGTAGAAATTTTTTTACTTTGGAGACTCACACTGCAAGTACTCTGTATAAGCCATATGTTTTTGGATCATACAAGTTTATTTTATTTTATCTTAATTTTAAGGTTTTACTTGGAAGAACCTCCAGGAACACAGAAGCTTTATTTGGGAAGAATGGCCCCGCCGTCTAAAGTGGTCCATCTTGGAGATAAAGAACAATCTAACTGGACAAAAGAAGTACAAGGAATTTCAGAACAGTGAGTGTCATGAAAATATTTGATATCATAGAAATAGATTCTGATTTAATACACTCACTCTGTACCTGAATTTCCACTTAACATAGTAATTGTTCCAACTACTGACTACTTATCTTATGTTTTAAAAAAAATAATGGGTTCTAGTTTAAAATAATGGCTAGTTAAGAGCAGTTGTAGCCTCTCCCAGTTTGTCACTAAAATAGTTCATGAAGAAAATGAAAATGTACATCCACTTGATGCTAGGAATAATAGTTAGCATGTTGTTTGAGTTTGAGAGTTAATTTTAACAATCATATGGACTTTGCATTTCTTGGCCACACGTAGGCCACATCATCCTGCCTCAAACCCCAAATGCTCCTGGGCTTTAAAAGGAAAGATCTGTGCCATCCAAATAATGGAAAAGCTGGCTCTCGTCAGAATGCTTATTTTTTAGTTCACCAGAATGCTTTGTGACTCATGCCCCTATCCTACTTGTACCTCATTTCTCTACCCAAACACTAGAATTTACAAATATATATATAATAGCGACATTAGCATTGGCACATAAAACAGTGTTATAAATGTATATACATCAAGTCTCCCATTCAAATTGTAATAGGTAAATAGTTTAAATTGGTAAACTGTTGGTTATTCTTTTCCATAATTTTGAACCTAATGCCAAACTATAGTATCCATATTAAAGATGAGTACAAAGAAAATGTACCCAAAGACCATGAGAAATCATCCAGCATAAAAGAAGGAGATCACTCTTAAGACAGAAATGTAGCAAAGTTTTGCCTTCCACCAGTATAATGAAATGCCCCCATCATAACTCCTTGTTGTTGTTTTAGGTGTCATCAAGTCAGTTCCAACTCATAGTGACCCCTGTGTACAATAGAACCAATCACTGTCCAGTCTTGCACCATCCTCACATGGTTGTTAACACTTGGACCCATTGCTATTGTCACTGTTCCAGTCCATCTTTTTCACTGACCCTCTACTTTACCAACCATGATGTCCTTTTCCAGGGACTGGCCACTCCTGACAAAATGTCCAAAGTAGGAAAGATGAAGTCTCACCATCCTTGCTTCTAAGTTGCCTTCTGGCTGTACTTTTCCTAGTCAAATATATATTTGTTCTTCTGGCAATCCATGGTACTTTGAATATTCTCCACTTCAAATGCATCAGTTCTTCTATGGTTTTCCTTATTTATTGTTCAACTCTCACATACATATGATGCTGCTGAAATATTGTGGCTTGGATCAAGTGCATCTTAGTCCTCAAACTGACAGCTTTGCTCTTGAATGCTTTAAAGAGGTCTTGTGCAGCAGATTTGCCCCATACAATACATTGTTTGATTTCGTGACTGCTCCTTTCAATAATGTTGATGGTGGATCCAAGCAAAATGAAGTCTTTGACAACTTTAATCTTTTCTCCATTTATATGGATGTTATTTATTGGTCCAGGATTTTTGTTTTCTTTATATTGAGGTGCAATCCATACTGAAGGCTGTAATTTTTTATCTTCATCAGAAAGTGGTGGGGTTTTTTTTGTTTTTTTTTTTCAGTTATTTGAATTTTTTAATAGCGAGAGAGGCTGCTGTCAGTTTTTCACAATGAACTGGCTTTTGCTCAGTTTCCCTCTTTCCTGAGGCAAGCCAATAGATGCTGCCGTCTCCTCCAGGTAGCCTTTATCCCTTACTTGTCCTCAGGAGTGTCTTTTACCAGAATAGGCCCATGCTCTGAGCTCCTAGGAGTACTAGTATGATGGGTGCAGCTTGGCAGGCTGTTTTCCTTCTGATCAGGGGGAATGGGTTCTTCCCTCACAGGAGATGATTCTGGGGTTTAGGTATCAGGTGGAATGAACACATAAGCTGGGCTTTGAAGTGTAGGTACTGACAGTTCCCCACAGCTTTGGGGACTGAGCATTGTTGGCACTAAGGGTCTTCTGGAAATGTCCTTTTCTGACTGATTGGGACAATCCCTGATTAAAGGGAGCCCCAATGTCATTGAACTGGAAGAAGACTGTGGACTCTCAAAGGTCAGATGTGGAAACTTGGAGGCAGTAGATTTTCGACTTGAGTGTCTTGCCTGGTCTCGGTGATGGTGATGTTGTTTCTGGGAAACAGCTTTCTGCTGTTGTATCAAACTCAGGCAATACCTAGGAAGTGATGGTGTCCTGATCAGTGGGCTTGCTAGGCACAGGTCTAGGGTGGCTGATGCGAAGCTTTTGCCATGCATAGTGGTGTTTAGCGCCCTCCAGTGGTTGTTGGTGAAATAGCAGCTGAGCTTTCTGAGACCGCTGTCTGAGCTTTTTTTGAGGAGGCATCAATAGGTGAATGAAGAGGAGTTAGTAACCCCATGATGCTGGTTGCAATTAGCTGAGAGGATAGGCTCCAATTCCAACCCATGCAGTGACCCTGCATAGGTTTCCAAGGCTGTAAATCCTTATGGGAGCTGAAAGCCTCTTTTTTCTCCCATGTAGCAGCTGGTGGGTTTAAACTGCCAACCTTGTGGTTAGCAGCAGTCCAGTACTTATCCTGCAGTGCCCTCAGAGCTCCTCTGTCCCACCAGGTCCCGGATTGCATCTTCTCTCCATACAACTCCACACGATTCAAGCCCAGAATCAAGAAAGTGTTTACATCCTCTTTGCTTTTAGCAAGCAAGGTTGTATCATCTGCATGTAGCAGGTTGTTCATGAATCTTCCTTAAATTCTGATGCTGTGTTCTTCTTCATATGATCCAGCTTCTCAGATTATTTGTTCAGCATACAGATTGAATAAGAATAGTGAATGAATGTAACCCTGCCGCACACCTTTTCTGATTTTAAGCCATTCAGTATAACCTTGTTCTGTTTGAACAACTGCCTCTTGATCTATGTACAAGTTCCTCGTGAACATAATCAGGTGTTCTAGAATACCCATTCTCCCAGTGTTATGCATAGCTTGTATGATCCAGACAGTCAAAAGTCTTTGCTTAGTAAATGCACAAGTAAACATCTCGCTAGTATTCTCTGCTTTCAGCCAAGATCCATATGAAGACAGCAGTAATACCTCTTGTTTCAAGTCTTCTGAATCTGGCTTGAATTTTTTGAAATTCTCTGTCATAACTCCTAGCATTCTAATTTTTCTGGTATAGTACATAAGCAAAATCATAAATATAAATTTGTCTCTTTAGTGTAATGACTCTGTTCTTATATAGTATTCTCCACGAAGACAGGTAACACATCTGGTTTTGTACCCACGATTTTCTCATTTGTTGCCTAGTAGCTAGGTGTACTTAGTAAATACATGTATTTGTTTGAATTAACTGTGTTTTAGTCAAAACTGCTGATTAAAAAAGAAAAAATAGAAACTCTTTCAAATTACCACACATTGAGTTTAACCATTTGTTTATATATTTAAGAATTATTTTTTATCTATAGTAGTAGGTACAGTAAATACTGTAATAATTTTAAATATACAGTTATACCCTCCTGAAATTTATAGCTGATAGATGGGAGATAGACATTAACATCTTGTATGAAGATATAATCAAAATGCCATTGTTGTTAAGTGCCAACGAGTTATACTTACCCATAGCGACCCTGTATAGGGTTTCTGAGAAGCGGCTAGTGAGCTTGAACTGCCGCCCTTGCAGTTCAAACGGCTTTGCAATCTGGAGGATTAACCCACAGCACCACACCAGAACTCCTATAATCAAAATGCAACTGTGATAATTGCTCTGAAGGGATTGGTGCTCTGAGACCATATAATAGATGGATTTGATGTAGCTAGGAAGAATTTGAGGGCAGTCATGGTCCAGTGGTAGACTATTTGCCTTCCATGTACAATGCCCATGTTCTAGTCACAGCCAGTATATCTTATGCTCAACCACCACTCATCTGTCAGTGGAAGCTTGCATGTTGCTGTGGTACTGAACAGGTTTAAGTAAAGCTTCTGTATTAACCCAGGCTAGGAAAAAAAGACCATGTAGTCTACTTCTAAAAACTAGCCAGTGAAAACCTATGGATCATGTTTGATCATCTGGATTGCCATATGTCGTGGTTGATTTGATAGCAGATGATGGCAGCAGCAAGCAGAGTCCTGGTGTGGCTCTGTGGGTTAGTGCATCAGATTGCAAAGTCATTTGAACTGCAAGGTTAGTGGTTCACCAGCTGCTCCTATATAGGGTCGCTATGGGTCAGAACCCACTCGATGGCACTTAACAACAAGGGAAACAGCAACAGAAAGGAAATTACCTTATTCAGAAAAATCTTTCCTGAGATAGTGTTGATTAAACTGAGATCTAAGTGTGTGGAATAGGTGTTAGAAAAGGGAGCTTGTTTCAGGATGAGGGAAGAGTTGCATGCAAATTCCTATGACAGGATTAAAAACAGCGTATGAAAGGACTAGATAATGGCATCTGACGCTAGGGTGGAGAAAACAAGAGGGAACCTGACTGAGGAAGATGAGTCAACAAAGGAAAAGGAAAAAAAAATTTACTTGAGAGGATGGAAGACATCCAAAAGAATGTTCAGTCATGTAAATCAGAAAATGTTGTTGTTAGGTGCCATCGAGTCGGTACTGACTAATAGCAACCTTATGCACAACAGAACGAAACACTGCCCGGTCCTGGGCCACTCTCACTATTGTTGCCATGCTTCAGCCCATGGATGCTGCCACTTTGGCAATCCATCTTGCTGGGAGTCTTCCTTTTTATCTCTGACCCTCCACCCTACCAAACTTGATATCCTTCTCCAGCAGCTGGTACCTCCTGACAATATGTCTGAAGTATGAGAGATGAAGTTTGGTCATCTTGGCCTCTAAGAAGCACTCTGGCTGCATTTCTTCCAACACAGATCTGTTTGTTCTTTTGGCAGCCCATGGCACTTTCAATATTCTCCTCCAACACCATAACTCAAATGGATCAATTCTTCTACAGTCTTCCTTATTCACTGTCCAGCTTTCACATGCTTTTGAGGTTATTGAAAATACCATGGCTTGGGTCAGGTGCACCTTAGTCTTCAAGCTGACATCTTTGCTCTTCAACAGAAAACATTACAAGATAAGAAATAGCATGTCAAACATGAAGAGGGTAAGCAAAAGTTATTTTGATTGCACTATGGAACTGAAAGTTTGATGAGGATAGAGAACTGATTGGATACAGTGTAGGAATAGATCATTTATCCAGAAGATATATCCGTGAAGGGCACCCTTTATCCTACCTTGTGTTTCCAATCTGGATGAGTTTCTATGATGTCAGCAAATATCAAAGAGAAAAATCAAAACAGGAGACTAGATGAAACACCTTATTTGTAATGGATATAAGATGTCTGGAACCCTAACAAGGGGCTACCGACAGTTTTGCCATCCCACTATTTTTAAAATAAGCTATCTGAGAGGTGGGAAGTGGGGAACTCACTACCATTGAGAAGAGACAGAGCGAATTATACCCTTGAATCCAGAGTCCCCGCTCTGAGAGCCACGTAGACCCATGAGACAGAGAGAGCTGTACACTGGAGACAGTGTGAAGCAGCAACAGAGAAATGGTGGCAGCAGAACAAGGTGTTCTGTGCAATGGCTTCCTGACCTACAGAGCAAGTGGGTGTGCTTACTCTTGAAAAAGACAGATGAGTGCCTTAAGGCAGGAAGCTTCCTAGGGAAGCTTTGCAACACTTGCCAAAGGCAGGGAGACTAAAAGCCTAGGGTCAGAGAGGCCTGCATGTGTGCCCAGTGGAGAATGAGCTGTCCCGATCAAAGAATTGTATTCTGAGTTGTTCCTGATCCTGATTGTAACCTGTTGTTTTCCTAATAAACCATTGCAAGAAATTATCAAATGTAGCAGAGTACAATATAGTGCCATGGGAGGAACACAGATTGGTAAAAAGGTTGGAGAGAGTAGGTATGTATGCCTGATCTCATAGGAATCAGCCTTGGATTGTTCCTTTTAATTATCCTTTCCCCTTGAGAAGTTAGAGGAGGTCAGATGCCCCATCAAGCTATTTTTACAGATGTTTGGGTTGTTTCCACCTTTTTGCTATTGTGAATAGTGTTGGTGTGAACATTCGTATACAAGTATGTGTGTCCCTGCTTTCAAGTCTAGAAGTGGACTTCCCAGAACATGTAGTAATTCTGTGTTTAACTATTTTCCACTGGGACTGCGCCATTTTGTGCTTTCATGTAAAAGAGTTTAATTCTCCATATCCTCATCAATGTGTTATTTTCATTTTGGTTTTTTGTTATAAAACAATCCTTGTATGTGTGGAGCAAAGGAGTTTCTTACAACGCTCTGAGTTCTGATCTTATCATACAACTATTAGGAAATAAAGCAAATGATACACAGAGGCTTCGGTTGCGTACTCAGAACCACTAACTTATTAGTTGTTGCTGCATTATTTGACATTTAAGTATTTAATAATGAATAGGTAGAAACCAGTTTGGGTGATGACTAAGTTTTATTTCTAGAAAACATTCCATACTTACATGTATGTATGCTTCTTTGTTATTTTTTCTTTTAGTTACCTGAGAAGAAAAGGAATAATAATAAATGAAACATCTGCAGTTATATATGCTCAGTTACTCACAGGTCGTAAATATCAAATAAATCAAAATGGTGAAGTCCGACTAGAGAAACAGTGGTCAAAACAAGCTCTTCCTTTTGTTTATCAAACTATTGTTAAGGTAAGTCTCCATCAGGCCTCAATTCTACCTTGATTTACATTGTTGCCCACTATATAAAGAAAAGACAACTGAAATATTTATTAATATATAGAAGACTAAGCAGTGTATAATAAAGATTATTAATATCACTTGCAAGTTATTATAAGTCTTTATTAGGAATATTACATGCTCAGAAACTCACTGAGTAGTAGGGCAGAAGAACTTATCTTGCCTGTTTGATTTTTTTCAGGACTTAGTTTTGAAGAAAACTCCAGCATTTGCTTACACACTTGAATTTTCAGATTTTTTTTTCTCCAAAAATTTGCCATAAGTAGATTGGTGGTGGTGGTTATGTGCCGTGGAGTCGATGCCAACTCATAGCAATCCTTTAGAGGGTTTCTGACACTGTAAATCTTTACGGAAGCAGAAAGCCTTATGTTCCTCCCACGGAACAGCTGGTAGTTTCGAACTGCTGACCTTGCAGTTCGCAGCCCGATTCGTAACCACTATGCTACCAGAGCTTTTAAGTAGATTAATAAACATAAAATAAGTTTATTTTTGTGTTTGCACTGTTAGATATGGGAGGAAAACATGTGGTGACCCTATGATTTTGTGAGCTAAGAGGACAGACTGCCTGAGTTGACTTCCTAGCTGTGTGATGCTGAGTAAAATTCACCCAGTCCTGTACCTTAGTTTTCTCATCTGCAAAGTGGTGCTAATAATAGTGCTCTCTGCCACCGAGGATTGTCTTGAGGTTCATGCAAATATTGTAATTAAAAGATAATGTAAAAAAAAAAAAAAAAAGATAATGGAATTTTTTCAAGAACTTTTTGGAGCATCATTGTGAACAGTTAAATGAACAGTAAAATGCTTGGCATATAATAAGTTCTTAATAAATTTTATCTGCTATTATTTTTATGTTTAGAATCTCCACATTTGACATTTACTAACTGTATAGTCATAATCTCATAGGAAAAACCTGATGCGTAATGTAGAAATTTTGTCTGTAGTGATTTACTTTTATCATTTATTTTACATAGGACATTCGCACTTTCGACTCCCGTTTCTCCAATATCAAAACATTAGATGACTTGTTTCCTCCTAGAAGTATGGTCTTTATGCTGGGAACCCCCTATTACGGCTGCACTGGAGAGGTTAGTTCCAGTTATTGTTACTAATTCAATTTCCTTCTGGTTTCAAGTTAACATGATTATTTAATTTCTCTTCATTTAGATATATAACAAAAGGTAATATAAAGGGGAGATAAGAAAAATTTATCTTTGTAAGTTATGGACACCATATTTACTTTGTGTCTTAAGTAGGTTGAAGTTGGGGACAGGGATAAAGAATTCAAGTCCTCATTTTTTATTGGACTTTTGCTTATTATGGTAGTATGAAGGAAGTGATTCTGAAACTATTTCAGATGTATTATAAGAGTAAATTAATAAATTTGTCGATGTTTTGGGGCACCTCCGTTCTCACGTGGAAAAAGGAATATGTAATTATATAATGGCAAAAAACACAATGAACCTGTGAGGTAGGGATGGATTAAAATTGAAGCTATTGATGTGAACTAATGATTTCTACAATGAGTATATATGTGTGTATATGCCTTTATATCAACACATGTCTGTATATACATACGTGTGTGTGTGTGTGTGTATGCTGTTATTCTAAGTGCTGTCAAGTCAGTTCCAACTCATGGTGAGGTTCAAAACCTACTGGCAAGTTCAAGAGGGAACCTAGATCCAGAGGGCCTGGAGGAAGGTAGAATCTCCAGTGGGTAGTATCCAATCTGTCTAGGCGGGGCTGATGCAATGAAATGCAGACGGGTCTCTTGTGATACAACAGTGAATA